CCAATATGACCATTTCTGCCTTTTAATTAGGGTAATTAGGCAAATGTTTATGTTTAATATTTTGTCTCATCAGTTCTTTTTTCATCTTTTCCTGCTTTCTTTTAGATTATGTTACTTATTTTATCTTGCTTGCTAGCTTAATGTCTATAATACTGTGTTTTGCTATGTTAGTGATTTTTTTAGGGTTTATAATACAAATCTTTATCACACAGTATATCTTCAGGAGCTTTAAGATGGTACACTTCCATATCTTCCTTCCTGACCTTCATGCTTCTATGGTCACACATTTATTTAAGTTATAAACCCCTCAGTATATTATTATTTTTGTTTAAACTGTCATCTTTTGGGGCGCTTGCATGGCTCAGTTGGTTAAGCATCTGCCTCTGGCTCAGGTCATGATCTCAAGGTCCCGGGATTGAGCCCCACATCGGGCTCCCTGCTCAGTGGCAAATCTGCTTCTCTCTCTCCCCCTGCTGCTCCCTCTGCTTGTGCTCTCTCTTGTTCTCTCTCTCTCTCAAATAAATAAAGTCTTAAAAAAAAAATAAGCTGTCATCTTTTGAAGAGATTGCATAAGAAAATCTTAATATTTGCCCATTTTGTTTCCATTTTCAGTTATTTTGTAATTCCTTTGTGTAAATCTATATTTTCACCTACTATCATTTTCTTTACACCTGGAGGACTCCCTTCAAAATTGCTTGTAGTGTTGGCTAAAAATGCCTTCACTTTTCACTGTCTGAAAGGAACTAGTTCATCTTTCTTTCTTTTTTTTTTTTAAGATTTTATTTATTTATTTGACAGAGAGACACAGCGAGAGAGGGAACACAAGCAGGGGGAGTGGGAGAGAGGGAAGCAGGCCCCCCGCCGAGCAGGGAGCCCGATGTGGGGCTCGATCCCAGGACCCTGGGATCATGACCTGAGCCGAAGGCAGACGCTTAACAACTGAGCCACCCAGGCGCCCCTCATCTTTGTTTCCGAAAGCTATTTTCACTTGGCATAAAATTCTGTGTTGAAAGATTTGCACTTTTTTTCTGGTACTTTAAAAATGTTCCTCCACTGTCTTTTCACCTGCAGTTTTTTCCAGCAAGAAATAGACTATTATGCTTATCTTGTTCCTCCATACATAGCATGTTTTCCCCCACTTTGGCTACTTGTAAGGTTTCTCTTTACCACTGGTCTTGCACAATTTGATCATGATGTGCCTTGTAATTTTCTTTGTTTCTTGTGCTGGGGGTTGGTTGGATCTGTAGGTTTATATTTTCATCAAATTTAGAACATTTGGGCCTTTTTTCTTCAGTTTTATTTTGTTTTTTCCTCCTCTTTGAGGATTCCAATTACACGTATATTAGGCCACATAAAGGTGTCCCACAGCTCACTGATGCTTTAGGTTTTTTAATTCTTTTTTTGTGTGTGTATTTCATCTTTCTATTGCTGTGGCTTCCATTTAATTTCTATTAATAGTTTCTACTGCTATGTCTTCAGGTTATCTGATCTCTTGTCTGCAGTGTCTATTCTGACTTTAATCCCTTCCAGTATATTTCTCACCTCAGGCATTTTAGTTTTCATCTCTAGAAATTCACTGTGGGTTTTCTAGTTATCTTCCATGTGTCTGCTTAAACCTTTTGAGCAGGTGCAATATAGTTATAATAACTGTTTTAATGTTTTTTTCTAACATTGTTTTAATGATGATTCTAACACCTGTGTCAGTTCTGGGTCAGTTTCTATTTTTTTATCCTCATTGTAGGTTGTATTTTTCTGTCTCTTTGCCCCCCTAATAAATGTTTATTGGATGCCATACATTAAAATTTTTTACCTTTCGGTTCCTAGATATTTCTCTATTTCTATAAATATCCTTAAGCTCTGTTCTAGAATGTAGTTAAGCTACTTCGGAACAGTTTGATCCTTTCAGGTCTTGCTTTTAAAATTTGTTAGTTGGGACGAGAGCCATTAATTATTCCTCACTACAGACACAAGTCCGTCTGGGTACTCTGTGCAGTGCCCTCTGAGTCATGAGGTTTGCCAGCCTGGCTGGTAGGAACAGGCACTGTTCGGGCCTTGGGAAGTTTCCTCAGATGCATCCATTCATCGGTACTTGCAGAATACTTGAAGGGTAACCCTTTGCAGATCCTCCCATTCTGTCACTCTGAAGCTTTTTCTTCCCTGGCACTGTGAATTCTAACTACCTCTGTCTCCTCAGACCCTCAGCTGCTAGGGAGTCCACCAGGACCCATGCAGGCTTCATCTCCCTGTGCTATGGCCTGGAAAGTCTCAAGGTAGTAAGATGGGTAACCATAGGGTTCATCTCATTTATTCTCCAGCTCTTGGGTATCAGTGTCTTTTGTTGCCAATGATTTATTGTCTTGAAAACTGTTGTTTCATATATTTTGTCCGTGGTTTTGCTTGTTTGTTTGTTTTTTGGTGGTGGTTTTAGGCAAGCAGTGTATCTAGTCCCTGTTACTGCATCTTGGCTGCAAGCAAACATCTAGATGTATGTGTTTTCAAGATAATTTTCTGTTAGATTATATATAGATTGTTAGAAAAGGTGGAGAGGATCACACAGTCTGATTTTCCTGCAGTGATCAGTGAAAGCCAAAGATATAAGATAGCATTTAAGTCTTAAAGACCATATTGAGACAGGGTGAACAAAGAGAGAAGAACCTAAACGTTAGGACATCGGAAGCTAAAGTGTAAAAGTGCCTGGGGTACCCTGAGGCAGGTAGGTACTCTGTGGTTGGAACAGAGGTCAAAAACTAGGGCTTGCCCAGCAAGATGCCGTCCTAGTATCTTTGGTTGGGTCCACTGTGTGTGTGTGTGTGTGTGTGTGTGCGTGCGTATGTGTATAATTTTCAGTTGCCCAAATACAGAAAGATTTCACATAAATGCAGACTTTCTATTTCTCTTGAAAATAATCTGAAGTTCTGGGCCACAGTTCCACAGTCTTCCATGGTATCCATGGTATCCCTGAGCTGGAGCCGAGGCAGTGGGTTGCCTCTCCTGCATGGATCTTACACTCTCCAGTGGCCAGTCTATTGTGTTACCCCCAGCTTGCTTCTCTCATTCACCATATTACTCCTGGCCCCCAGAGATACCCGAGTTTTTACTTTAATGCCTGAGAATAGGTTCCCTGAAGAGAGATTGTAAATTAACAGTGCTTATTTTTTAGAGCTTAGCCTTTCCTTTCTTTCATTATTCTCCCCCTTTCAAAATATATACTTTATTTGTTCTTTCATCTTTTAATGTCTGACCTTTTCCTTCTCAGCCATCTGATCCCATTTTATTTACCTTTATGTCTCCACATCATTATCTCCAGCTGCCATAACAGTACCACAGACTGGGTCCCTTAAGCAACAGAAATTTAGTTTTTCAGTTCTGGAGGCTGGAAGTTCAAAATCAAGGTTCCAGCAGGGTTGATTTTTGGTGAAGCCTCTCTTCCCAGGTTGCAGTTGGCCACCTTCCCACTGTGTCCCCATGTGGCCTTCTGTGTGTGTGTGGAGAAAGAGAGCTCTGTGCTGTCTCTTCTCTTATAAGGACTACCACTTCCGTAGGTTAGAGCCTCCCCCCATGGCCTCATTTAACTTTAATTAACCTCCTTAAAGTCCCTGCTTCCACTTTGGGGATTAGGGCTTCACCCTGTGAGTTTTGAGAGAACACAGTTTTTAGTTCATAGCAATAGCTATTCAATCCTATATATTACTTTATTTTGAAATTCTTGCATCTGTGACAAATTCTTTCACCATTCCCAGATATTCTAGAAAGGAGACACTGTCTTCCACTCTTTAAATTTCCCTTTTGTCATTGTTTTTGTATTTTCCTTCTCCTAACATTATTTACACTACTATGCACTCATTCACAAAGTATTTGTTTTATATTTTCTCCTACTGTCGAACTGTTTAAAAAGCTGCATTCCACATCCCACAGGTCAGAATATCACAGCTTTATTTATTTATTTTTTTGAGTAGAGTTGCCACGCGGTGTTTCATTAGCTTCAGGTATACAGTATAGTGATTTGATAAGTCCATACATTACACTGTGCTTGCCACGCTCCCATCTCACCACAGAACACTATTACAGTCTCATTGACCGTACCTCCTATACTGTACCTTTTCTTTCCGTGACTATTCATTCCAGAACTGGGATCCTGTATCTCCCACTCCCCTCTGCTCAGGCAACTATCGATTCTCTGTATTCTAGGTCTGATTCTGCTTTTTGTTTGTTTGTTCATTTGTTTTGTTTTTTATATTCCACATGTAAGTGTATTTGGTATTTGTCTTTCTCTGACTTATTTCACTTAGCATAATACCCTCTAGGTGCATCCATGTTATCACAAATGGAAAGATGTTGTTCTTTTTTATGGCTGAATAATATTCCATTGTATATATATACACACCACATCTTCTTTATTCATCTGTCAGTGGACACTTGGGTTGCTTCCGTATCTTGGCTGTTGTAAATAATGCTGCAGTAAATATGGAGGTATATATCTCTTCAAATTAGTGTTTCATTTTCCTTGTGTAAATACCCAGTAGTGTAATTCCTAGATCATATGACAGTTTTCTTATGCATAAACTTCACCTTTCTTTCTGTCACTAAGAAATTTCCTGTTATTTTTATATACCTGCACACGCGTGCACACACACACACATTTTCCACCTAATTTGATAAAAACTTTTATTTATTTGTTTTTTTGATAAAAAGCTTTCTGGTTTTTCCCAGACATCTAATGTTTTTCTGAGAGAAGCAAAATTGATTTTATTCTGTCCCTTCATCATAGTAAGAAGGAGCCCAACCAGGTAGAAGTTCATGTCTCTACATTATTTTGAACAACTCCCTGCCTCTCACCCCGCAACATAATCACTTATATAATGTGTCAAATGTTGTTCTTTCAGGTCTTCCTGTCAGTCTCCCCTCTCTCTTTCTACTGCCCCGACCTAAATCAGAGCCTCCTGTGAGCTGTTGCAGCAGCTTTCTTATGGGCTTTTGTTTCTTACCTTTCCCTCCTTTAGTTCTGAAGTGGGCAAAGAGCGGAGCCATGAGGACCGAGGACACATAATGGATATGCACGTGAAGAAGAATGAGCAAACCAGCAGAAAAATCACCCTAATAGAGGTAAGAGGAAAACCCAGAGAAAGTTGTATCATAGAGTCAGGGGAGAAAGATTTGGGGAAGGCATGGTCAACTGCGACAAATGCCAAATAAGTCCTGGAGATGAAAAGTACAGCATAGGGAATATAGTCAATAATGTGCTGTCATTGTTAGTGACCACTGGAAACTCCACTTAGCATGGCCATTGCATAATGAATGGATAGCATCGTCGAACCACTGCGGTGTAGCCCTGGAACTAATACTATGCAGTTAATTATACTGCAGTTAAAAATAATTAAACAGTGACAAATGCTAAAGGGAGGAGAAGTAAAATACAGACTGAAAAATGCCCTTTTGGGATTTGCAGCCAAGAGGCGATTTATGACTTGCAAGAGGAGAGTTTGGTTGAGAGTCCTGGAAGCATGAATCTGATTGTCTCCAATGCAAAGGAAAAGATGCTCAGAATAAACTGTTTCTCCAAGAAGCTATACTTCAAAGGAAAGGAGAAGCTGGACAGCAAGCAGTGGAAAACGCAGGATTTAGAGACCTTTAGAGAGAGAATAATCCCTGGGCACCAGAGGAGATACATTAGAATGTGAAACAACGGGCGCCTGGGTGGCTCAGTTGGTTAAGGGACTGCCTTCGGCTCAGGTCATGATCCTGGAGTCCCGGGATCAAGTCCCGCATCGTGCTCCCTGCTCAGCGGGGAGTCTGCTTCTACCTCTGACCCTCTTCCCTCTCGTGCTGTCTCTCATTCCCTCTCTCTCAAATAAATAAATAAAATCTTTAAAAAAAAAAAAAGAATGTGAAACAAGGAGGGGTCACTTTTCTACCGAGACAGGCCAGTGAGGCACGTTTGTTTAAATGACGATGTTTTCTGGTGGGGGAAGGAATGTACGAAGGCCGCTGTTCTCTCGGTCAGGCACAGTGAAGTGTGTGTGCCGGAAGTGAGGCGTTCCAGCTGTATCATGGTGCCCTTACAGAATTGTCACCGTGGGAGAGCAAGACTCAGAATTCTGTAGATTTTAATTATAAAAAAATAAAGGCTCATTATACCAAACACATATAGATATATATTCATGGGTTAAGGAATGACTTTTTATCCTAGGTAACAGAATCAGAAAACATTTTGAAATAAATTTTAATAATAAAAACTTTGAAATGATACACATCAAAGAGAAAAAACACCCCATAAGCAAAATCTAACAACAAATAATAACCCAAGATGAGGAGGAATTTCATAAAATATATGACAGATAAAGAATTAATACCCTTAGCATATTTTTTTTTAAAAACTCTTCAATAATCAACAAAGAACAGAAGGAAAATTGACAAAGGGCATTCAGAAGACAGTTCTACCCTATTGTAGGAAAATATTCAAGTATACATGCACCGACTCAGTTAAAAGGCTGTTCCTTCAAGCACTGTTTTAAAAATAGGAAGAAAAAGGGGTCCCTGAGGGGCTCAGTCAGTTGAGTGTCTGACTTTTGATTTCGGCTCAGGTCATGAGATTGAGCCCCGTGTCAGGTTCTGCACTCATTGGAGGTGTCTGCTTCTCTCTCTCTCTCTCTCTCTCTCTCTCTCTCTCTCTCCCCCTCCCTCCCCACCCTTCCTCTCTCCCTCTCCTTCCCCTTGCTCGTGCTCTATCGCTCTCTCTAAAATAAGTAACTTTTTTACAAATAGGAAGGAAATTGAATTTCTATGAATATAGAGTTTATTAAATTATGGGACCTTTATATAAGAGAATACCATGTGATATTATTTGCTACATTACAGAAGTATTTTCATAGACATGGAAAGATGTTTATGATAAATTTTTAAGTAAAAGAAAGATAATTATAAAATAGTTTGTATATAACATATGCAGTTGATTCTTGAACAACACAGAGGTTAGGGGTGCCAACCCCCAGTCCATGCAGTTGAAAATCCATGTTACCACTTTGGACTCCCCCAACCACTTAACAATAACAGCCTACTATTAACTAGAAGCCTTACTGATAACCTCAATAGTGATTAACACATATTTTGTATGTTATATGTATTATATACTCTTCTCTTACAATAAGCTGGAGAAACAAAAATGTTACTAAGAAAAATAAGTAAGAGAAAATACATTTAGAGTACTGTACTATATTTATCAATATTGTCAGTTTACAGCATCTGTGTACAAGACAAATCATCATCTGTGTGAACCTCCATCATTACGGTCTTATGTGATACACAGAACACTGAAGATGTTACACATATTATTAACACCGACATCAAAAATGAAAGGATAATGTGAAAATTTGTATTTATTTAAAGGTATAACTCTCCATGCGTTGATAACAAAGAAGCAGCAATATGGTTGCTTTATGGTGGCCCAGTGTAATCAATGTAAATGCTTCCCAGTCGCCTAGCCTGCATAGTAATGAATGAATGGTTATGGCAGAGAGTGTTATAGTTCTATTTCATGATACTGATTGAAAACATTTGACCATAGAGTTGAGGGTCCATATCTGGGCTCTCTGTTCTGTTCCATTGGTCTATATGTCTGTTTTTGTGCCAGCACTATGCTGTCTTGGTGATCACTGCTTTGTAATTATAGCTTGAAATCAGGAAACGTGATGCCCCCTAGCTTTGCGATATGGACCCTCAACTCTATGGTCAAATAATCTTCAACAAAGCAGGAAAAGATATGTAATGGAAAAAAGACAGTCTCTTCAATAAATGGTGCTGGGAAAATTGGACAGCTGTATACAGAAGAATGAAACTCGACCACTCTCTAACACCATACACAAAGATAAACTCAAAATGGATGAAAGACCACAATGTGAGACAGGAATCCATCAAAATCTTAGAGGAGAACATAGGCAGTAACCTTTTGACATGGGCCACAGCAACTTCTTTCAAGATACATCTCAAAGGGGTGCCTGGGTGGCTCAGTTGGTTAAGCAACTGCCTTCAGCTCAGGTCATGATCCTGGAGTCCCAGGATCGAGTCCCACATCGGGCTCCCTGCTCGGCGGGGAGTCTGCTTCTCCCTCTGACCCTCTTCCCTCTCGTGCTCTCTATCTCTCATTCTCTCTCTCTCAAATAAATAAATAAAATCTTTAAAAAAAAAAAAAAGATACATCTCAAAGGCTAGTGAAACAAAAGCAAAAATGAACTTTGGGGACTTCATCAAGATAAAGAGCTTCTGCACAGCAAAGGAAACAGTCAACAGAACAAAGAGGCAACCCACAGAATGGGAAAAGATATTTGCAGAAGACACTATAGATAAAGGGCTGGTATCCAAGATCTATAAAGAACTTCTCAAACTCAACACCCAAAAAACAAATAAGTCAAAAAATGGTCAGAAGACACGAACAGACACTTCTCTGAAGAAGACATACAAATGGCTAACAGACACATGAAAAAATATTCATCATCATTAGCCATCAGGGAAATTCAAATCAAAACCACACTGAGATACCACCTTACACCAGTTAGAATGGCAAAAATTGAAAAGGCAAGGAACAACAAATGTTGGAGAGGTTGTGGAGAAAGGGGAACCCTCTTAAACTGTTGGTGGGAATGCAAGTTGGCACAGCCACTTTGGAAAACAGTGTGGAGATTCCTCAAAAAATTAAAAACAGAGTTACCCTATGACCCAACAATTGCACTCCTGGGTATTTACCCCAAAGACACAGATGTAGTGAAAAGAAGGGCCATATGCACCCCAGTGTTCATAGCAGCAATGTCCACAATAGCCAAACTGTGGGAAGAGCCAAGATGCCCTTCAACAGATGAATGGATAAAGAAGATGTGGTCTCTGTATACAATGGAATATTACTCAGCCATCAGAAAGGATGAATACCCAACTTTTACATCAACATGGATGGGACTGGAGATCATGCTAAGTGAGATAAGTCAAGCAGAGAAAGTTAATTACATGGTTTCACTTATTTGTGGAACATAAGGAACAGCATGGAGGACATCAGGAGAAGGAAGGGAAAAATAAAGGGGGGAAATCGGAGGCGGAGACGAACCATGACAGACTGGACTCTGAGAAACAAACTGAGGGTTCTAGAGGGGAGAGGCGTGAGGGGATGGGTTAGCCCGGTGATGGGTATTAAAGAGGGCACATACTGCATGGAGCACTGGGTGTTGTATGGAAACAATGAATCGTGGATCACTGCATCAAAAACTGGTGATGTATTGTACGGTGACTAACATAACATAATAAAATTAAATTTAAAAAAAGAAAACACTGTTACATTAAAAAAAAAAACCTGTGATGAAAGGCTGATAAGCAGTTTCTCTGCTTAGGGGAGAGAGGGCAGCCTGTACTGTAATGTAACTCTTTGAAAGCAGAGTTATAAAACAGGAAGAAAACTAACATGTTACTAATTTTATTACCTGTCACTGCGTTTGTAATGATTGTCCACTTCCATACACGTGTTGCACACAATGTTCTATACAGTGGATACTTGGGCAGTGATGAAATGGTGATGACGCAGAGTTAATAGATTTTTACACACAGACATACACACATACACAGTAGATAAGTTTAGTGACTATACAGCATGATTATCTACTGTTCATCAAGTGGAAGTGGATCATCATAAAGGTCTTCATACTTGTCCTCTTCCTGTGGAGGAGGGGGAGGAGGAGGAGTTGGAGGGGGAGGTGGGGGGAGGGGGGAGGAGGAGCAGCTGGTCTTGCTGTCTCAGGGGTGGCAGAGGTAGAAGAGGAGGCAGGTTAGGCGGGCACACACTCAGTAGAACTTTACAGAAATACGTTGTAATTTCTGTCTGACTTGTTTGCTTTTTCATTTTTCTAAAAATATTTCAATCTGCGGGGTGCTCGGGTGGCTCAGTTGGTTGAGCTACCAGCTCTTGATTTCCGCTCAGGTCATGATCTCAGGGTCCTGGGATGGAGCCCTGCGTCGGACTCTGTGCTCAGCGGAGAGTCTGTTCGAGATTCCCTCTCCTTCTGCCCCTCCCCTCTCTGTAAAATAAATAACTAAATCTTTTTAAAAATGTTTCTATATGGTACCAATCCTTTTTCCACCATTTGCTTCAGTTTCATTGCCCATATCATAGAAGGGTCCCAGTCGTAAAAGAAGTCAAAGCCATTTTGAGTCATCGGAAGCCTTCTGCTGGACTGTCTACTGTCCAGTTCAGTTCGTCTTCTGGCACTGCTTCTTATGTCTTTCCTCATCATCTGGCACTGGTTCAGAGGCACTCATCTCTATCAAGTTGTCTTCTGTTCATTCCTCTGGTATGGTGTATATCAGTTCTTGAATTGCTCCAAGATCCATATCTTGAAACCCTTCCCACCCCCCCACCAACTTTTTTGCCATATCTACAATCTCTTTTGTAATTTCCTTGATTGGTTCTGCTGTAAATGCTGTAAAGGCATGCACAGCATCTGGATACAGTTTTCTTCGGCAGGAATCTATAATTTTGGTCTTGATGGCTCTCACGGCTTCTTCTATAACCATGATGGCATCTTCAGTGGTGTAACCTTCCAGATGTTCATGATGTTCTCTCTTGTTGGGGTTCTCTTTCATAGCATTGACAGTCCTTTCCCTAGAGTAATGTGTGTAATGAGCCTTAAAGTTTCATATGGCCCCCCGACCTAGAAGCTAAATTAGAGGCATTGTGTTTGGGGACAAGTAGACCATTTCAGTGCCTTCGGTGTTGAACTCATGGTGTTCTGGGTGGCTAGGGGCATTGTCCAATATCAAAAAAACTTAAAAAGATGGTCCTTCGGTGGCAAGGTACTTTCTGACCTCAGGGGCAAAGCATCAGTGGAATCAATCCAGGAAAAGGGTTCTCATTGTTCAGGCCTTTTTGTTGTATGGTTAGTCTTTACCTTTTCCCTTCAAGGCCTTGGGGTTAGCAGCTCTGTGGATAAGGGCAATCCTAATCATAAATAGCCGATTGCATTTGCACAACACAGTAGAATTAGCCTCTCCCTTCTTGCCTTCCTTAAATCCTGGTGCTTGCTTCTCTTCCTCACCAGTAAATGTACTTTGTGGCATTTTTTTTTTCCAGAATAAGGTACTTTCATCTGCATTAAAAATCTGTTCAGACAGATATCCTTGTTCCTCGGTGATTTTATTAATGGCCTTTGGGAACTCTTCAGCTGACTCTTGGTGGGCAGAACTGCTTCTCCTGTTATCTTGACTTTTTTTAAGCCAAACCTCTTTCTTAAAATTATCAAACCATCCTTTGCTGGCATTAAATTCTCCAGCTTTGGATCCTTCACCTTCCTTTTGCTTTAAGTTGTCATATAATAACTTTGATTTTCTTGAATCATATTAGAGTCTATCAGAACATCTTTCTTATATCAGCCCTATACACACATAAAAGCTGCATTTTCAATACAAAATAAAAAGGTATTTTGCAGGGGCACCTGGGTGGCTCAGCCAGTTAAGAGTCTGTCTTCGGCTCAGGTCATGATCAAGCCCCGTCGGGCTCCCTCCTCAGCGGGGAGTCTATTTCTCCCTCTCACTCTGCCCCTCCGCCCCCCCCACCCCACTCATGCTCTCTCTCTCTCTCTCTCAAATATGAAATAAAATCTTTAAAAAAAATATTTTGCAAAACATGCAGGGTTCTCATACCTCTTGGTGTAGCTGCAGCAACAGCTTCGTGAGTTTCCTTTTCCTTTTTTACAATGGTCCTTACACTGCATTCATTTATCTTGAGAAATGCAGACGACCACAGCTGCAGACCTCAGTCTTTGCTAGGTATCTCAAGCAATTCAAGTTTTTCTGGGAATGTCATGACTTTTCTCTGCTTCTTGGGAGCACTTTCAGCATCACTGGTGACACTTTGCCTGGGTCCCATGGTATTATTCAAGATTTACAGTATTGCATTAAACACAGTGAAAAATATGCAGGAGCTGTGAGAAATCACTTTTTACTGCAATATGCAGTTTACTGGAGAGATGAGCTGCTCACACATACATATTTCTGTATATTTTATCGTAGTAAATGATAAAAAAGATTAGTATCTACATGTTTTATGCATTTGTGACATACCGTTTTCTTAGTTTTTTTTTTATATTTCTAAGCTAGTTTGCAAGTTTTTTCAAGTTGTCACAAATCTCCAAAAGCTTTTCCAACATATTTTTGAAAAAAATTTGAGTCTAAGTGGACTCATGCACTTCAAACCTGTGTTATTCAACGGTCAACTACATGCCTAAAATACTGAATGATATACATTTAAAAAAATATCAGTAGTTCCCTCTGAGTGGTGGTGGTGGTGTGGTTATTTTTTTTTCCTTTCATTTTACTTTGTGTATTTTCTAATTTTTCTACCCAACATACATTGATATCTACTACTTGGTCATTTCTTTTAAAATGAAAGTAATTTGGGGTGCCTGGGTGGCTCAGTCGTTAAGCGTCTGCCTTTGGCTCAGGTCATGATCCCAGGGTCCTGGGATCGAGCCCCTCATCGGGCTCCCTGCTCCGCGGGAAGCCTGCTTCTCCTTCTGCCACTCCCCCTGCTTGTGTTCCCTCTCTCGCTATGTCTCTCTCTGTCAAATAAATAAATAAAATATTTTAATAAAAAAAACAAAAAAATAAAAAAATAAAATGAAAGTAATTTTAGGGGCGCCTGGGTGGCTCAGTCATTAAGCGTCTGTCTTCGGCTCAGGTCATGATCCCAGGGTCCTGGGATTCAGCCCATCGGGCTCCTTCCTCAGCAGGGAGCCTGCTTCTCCCTCTCACTCTGCCTGCCGCTCTGCCATGTTCTCTATCTTTGTCAAATAAATAAATAAAATCTTTTAAAATAAAATAAAATGAAAGTAATTTTAGAAATTTTCTAATATAGCCTGTTCTTTCTACATTTGCAGAAAGCAGGGTTTCAGAGTCACAGGTAAAGTGCCTGAACTAGGACTTGATCGAGTCTTATTTTTCACACGTAACATACACACAATCACTAACCCGGTTTCATATTCATTTTCCAGTATCTTAGTACGCAGATTTTCCTTTCTCTTTCCAAATGATTTGCCTTGAAAAAGAAGGCCCTCACTTTTTTAGTCTCTACCTGCGTTAGCTTATGGGGCCGCATCTTGAGGAGACACCTCAGAGAAAGACCGCATTTGGATTCTCTTTGGGGTCTTTCGGTTGGATGGCTTCTCTTCCCTTTCAGGAAATCTCCGTCCACTGCCTCAGCTTTTCAGTCCCGTGCTGTCAGCGCCTGTCATGCTCACGTGCCCCCCCCCCCGTCAGAGGTGTGCACTGGATGTCTCTCGTCCTTTCCCCCTCTCACGGGCAGCCTTTGGCATTCTGTGTCCAGGGCTCCTTCCTCTTCTCAGTCTGATTCACTTCCCTTAAAGATGTTATCTACGCTGCCTACTGCAGCATCTTCTAGCTACTTTTCTCTTGAGGGATCCCTCTGCTGAAGGTCCTCTGGCTTCTCTGTTTACTTCTCAGAGTGCAGGCTCCCCCTGATACGAGTGCTTGTCTTACATCCTCTGCACGTGCAGGATCCAGCTCACTCACTTCCAGCTGTTCTTCTCTCCCTTCCCTTTTCTATTTTTCTTCTTTGTTTTTGTTACCACTTTTACAAACGCCTCCTCCCACTCTCTTTTGCCTTGTTGTTCCTCTAAGACCCTTTTACCCTCCTCTCTGCCCCTTGCGGATGTTTGTAGGGTCTCTCAGGCACTTGTGCCCAGCATCCTCCGTTTGAGCCTTTACTACTTTCTTTCCCATTTTTATTGAGTCCTAATTTGGGACAGGTTTTGTGTGCTTTACATGTATGCACACGGGGGCAAAAATGAATGTGACACCCTTTTTTGGCCCCTGGTGCGATGGCACATCACATGTGTGCCACTTTACGCTCTACTTTAGTAGCTCTCATGAGCCTCACTTGAAACATTTTTGGACTTCTGCATATAATCCCAGCTTATCTGTGGTACTCTGTTCAACAAAGTTAAAGTCAGGAAACACAGACGGACAAAGGATTTTTTCCCCTCAGGCGTAAATGTCTCTCATCAAAAAAGATATCAAGAAAGATAGTGTATCTATTTATTTATGATCGAGCCTGCCCCTGAAAACACAGATGTTACCTGCACCTCTTGTGCTTCCAGGAAAGGACCTGAGGAAATGGGTAGCCTGCCCTTTCTGGCCCGACGCTCCAGCTGTTACTTTTCTCAGGAGTGTGCAATGGAATTGACCACCACCTTAACCAGATTCTTAGGCTGCATTTGTTTTCTCAGAGCAGTCAAGCATTAAGCCCTTTCTGTTCAGAGGAAGGACAACAACATTTTTATCTAAGTCTAGAGACTCACCACTGGCATGTGAATAAATGCATTAAAGAGTGTCACGTTCAACACCACTAGCTAGTTTTTGTGTACTTCCTACATGGTCTCTAAGAAGTTCCTTGTTTCATCCACATATTGGTTCTTGATTTTTAAATTTTTTTAAGGTTTTTATTTATTTGACAGATGGGGAGCACAAGTAGGCCAAGCGGCAAGCAGGGGGAGAGGGAGAAGCAGGCTCTCCTCTAAGCAGGGAGCCCAACATGGGGCTCGATCCTGGGACCCCGGGATCATGACCTGAGCTGAAGGCAGCCGCTTAACCAACTGAGCCACCCAGGCTCCCCAGTTCTTGATTTTCATTAATGGTATAATTTGCTTTATTTTAGAGCTGCATTTAGATGCATAATTAACCATCACTATCTTTGTTGAAAATGCCACACACCATTTTTCAGATTTATTCGAAAAAATATAGTTAACCCAGTTGTAAAAATAGACACAGTCATTAACCAAATGGAAGAATGTTATTTAATAAGATGCTCTATATCCTTTCCACTTACTAACTGTTGGAGCATCATCTGTGACACTTTTTTTTCCCCAATGAGTGAAGAATTTTACGAACTCTGATTGCCTGCTCTTAATTTCTGGAAGTTGCCCCAGGTTTGGAGTGCTTCGTGTCTGTGTTTGAGAAGTGTATTTCTTTTTTGCTTGTCAGTGCCAGAGCCGGCTTTATGCATCTGCTGGTGGTGCTAGATGTTAACAGTGTGTTCAAGAAGCAAAGGTGAGGACGCCTGGGTGCTCGGTTGGTTGGGCGGCTGCCTTCGGCTCAGGTCATGATCCTGGAGTCCCGGGATCGAGTCCCACATTGGGCTCCCTGCTTGGCGGGGAGTCTGCTTCTCCCTCTGGCCCTCCCCCCTCTTGTGCTCCCTCTCTCTCTCTCATTCTCTCTCTCAAATAAATAATTAAAAAAAAAAACAAAGGTGATTCGTACTTTGGTCTTGGGGTGTGTGTGTGTGTGTGTGTGTGTGTCACATGGTGTTTATTACCCATGCTGTTGCAGGAGCACACCGAGATTTGGTTGTGGGCAAAAGACATTGTTTAAGTTCATTGAGCACATTTTGTGTACTTTTCTCCTAGTAAAGAGTTGAAGAAGAATGAAGAGACAACCAAATACACAGAAATGAAATGACAAACCAAACAGAATTTCTCTTCAGAGTTAAGAATTTTCAGATACTAAGGAAGAAAGGAAGGACCCACTACTTCTTGTCCTTATGAGAGAATCTAGAAAAATCAGAAGCGAGGTACGATTAAAAAAATAAATGTGGCCTTTTGACCTTTGTTGTTATAAACCATTGTGATTGTTGATCAAAGTATTGGTACTTGTATTTATTAGTAATTACATCAAAATTATATGACCACTGTTGGAAAACCTATAAAGAAGAAAACATAATTGTTATTCAACCAACAGGAAGGAGAAGTGTTTACACTGTTAGGATGTCCATGAAGCAGTCATTTAATATTATTATAGCTGTAACGTGATTATGTATGTGGTGTTATGTTCAGAATGTGAAATATATGCTTTTGAAATTTAGCTTTATTTTAGAGATAAGCAACTTCAGAATATTGTGTATTCTAAATGGTCCCAGTGACAAAGACATTAAAAGGGAACACATTTGTTTTGAATGAATCATATATACGTAATGTGATACATATAAACTAAAAATGGCCTTTGGCTTGATTGGCAGCAGTGTTTCAAATTTCTTTACTTTTTAAAAAGAGCATTTCATATTTAAGCATATAAATTTGTAGACTTTGTTGAATATTTATTTTAGTCTTAACATTTGTTCATAAATTATTACATTGCATTATTTAAAGCTTGAGTTCCATAATTAATGGTGTCATTACTATGTGACTGTGTATTTTAAAGTGTTATAATACGAAAGTTCATTGTTTTTTTTTTTCTTGACTCTTGAATCAAACTTATGACATTATAAGTTTGTCAATAAAATATTTAACCCCACAAAGGTCAAAACTAGTATAGTATCAGAAAACTTGTTTACCGGGCGCCTGGGTGGCTCAGTTGGTTAAGCGACTGCCTTCGGCTCAGGTCATGATCCTGGAGTCCCAGGATCGAGTCCCGCATCAGGCTCCCTGCTTGGTAGGGAGTCTGCTTCTTCTTCTGACTCTCCCCCCATCTCATGTGCTCTCTCTCTCTCATTCTCTCTCTCTCAAATAAATAAATAAAAATCTTTAAAAAAAAAAAGAAAAAGAGAAAGCTTATTTACCAAATTAGACAATCAATTAAAATAAGTGAGAAAAACAGTGTTGGACATTGAGGTGTAAATTTTGCCCAGATGTATATTCGATGTGAAATATCTTCTAGTAAAAATATATTTGGCTCGGGCGCCTGGGTGGCTCAGTTGGTTAAGCGACTGCCTTCGGCTCAGGTCATGATCCTGGAGTCCCGGGATCGAGTCCTGCATCGGGCTCCCTGCTCGGCAGGGAGTCTGCTTCTCCCTCTGACCCTCTTCCCTCTCGTGCTATCACTCATTCTCTGTCTCTCAAATAAATAAATAAAATCTTTAAAAAAAAAAAAAAATATATATATATATATATATATTTGGCTCCTATCCCTGCACATGTTGTAGTGGCATGAAAATTGGTAAACATGCCCCTGCTGTGTAGAACTTAAAGGGGGAAGCATTTTTGAAGGGGGTGAGTGGCTCCAAAGTTGGGGGAAGCCCTCAGCGATCAGCCCCAAAATCTGACTGGTGGCACCGAGCTCCCACTGTCCTGGACGCACATGTCTGTGCCTCAGGTGTCTTGTGAATATACTTGATAATTACAAAATAAAATATGCATCTCTTTGCAGTTTCAGCTCATAGTTTTGAGATAACGTATTGATTCTCAGGTTTAGGTTTTAATCACAAAGGATTTCAACAATTTGCAGGAACATTTTAAAACAAGACAGGGCGCCTGGGTGGCTCAGTCAGTTAGGCGGCTGCCTTCGGCTCAGGTCATGATCCTGGAGTCCCGGGATCGAGTCCCACATCGGGCTCCCTGCTCAGCGGAGAGTCTGCTTCTCCCTCTGCCACTCACCTCACTCTTGTGCTCTCTCTCTCTCACTCTCTTTCTCAAATAAAGAAATAAAATCTTTAAAAAAAAAAAAAAAAAACAAGACAAATGTGGGGTGTGTGGGTGGCTCAGTCAGTTAAGCATCTGACCCTTGATTTCAGCTCAGGTCATGATCTTCAGGGTCTCGAGATTGAGCCCTGCCCCCGCATCAGGCTCCCTGCTCAGTGGGGAGTCTGCTGGAGATTCCCTCCCTCTCTCTCTCCGCCCCTCCCCCTGCTCTCATGCTCTCGTAGTCTCTCTCTCTCAAAAATAACTAAATAAATCTAAAAATATTAAAACAAGACAAATGAAATATGACAGGGGAGCTAAACATTTGCTGAGATCTCAATGTTCGTATGAAAAATAAAGGGTTATTTTTGTATTGCAACTACTGAAGACAAAAATAAGAATTGAGGCAAAACCAGGAAAAGTTGATGTTACTCAAAACCCAGTCCTTCTTTCTTGTCCTGTTGACAAATAAGATTCCAGTTATGTTCATGAATAGATTAATAAAACGTCTTTATCATACTCTCAGACATGAGATGGGGCAGAGGACATCCTTAAAAGTGCCCTCCAAGTAGAAGTCCAAATTATTGTCAAGTAGAGGAATCAGACATGAGAATCTATTTGAAGATTCTGATACTGCACGTTTTCTTAGTAACAAATTTTAGTATTCTTTGTTTATCTTCATCCTGAAATTATTAAATTTTATCCCGTTTTATAAAGTCTCTTTTCTCCAAATAACAATTTTTGACATTTTTTCTGATCTAAATATTTTTAAACCATTCTCAGAAATTTATTTCCCAATTGATTCTACTCTATCTTGAACATTAAAGTTTCTTCAGTATCAAAACTATACCATGAATAAGATTTGCAAAGCTAGAACAAAACTCAAGTTTGTTTGTTTGTTTTAAGATTTTTTATTTATTAGAGAGAGAGAGCACAAACAGTGGGGAGCAGCAGAGGAAGAGGGAGAAACAGACTCTCTGCTGAGCAGGGAGCCCAACTCAGGGCTCAATCCCAGGACCCTGGGGATCATGACCCGAGTCAAAGGCAGATGCTGAACTACTAAGCTACCCAGGCACCCCCAAAATCAAGTTTTTAAAGATTTAAGACATGAAAAATTTTACACCATGGTAAAAATTTATGTTTAAAATGCACATTTGAGAGGTGCCTGGGTGGCTCAGTTGGTTAAGCCGCTGCCTTCAGCCCAGGTCATGATTCCAGAGTCCTGGGATCGAGCCCCGCATCGGGCTCCTTGCTCTGTGGGGAGCCTGCTTCTCCCTCTCCCTCTGCTTGCGGCTCCCCCTGCTTGTCATCTCTCTCTCACACTGTCTCTATGTGTCAAATAAATGAATAAAATCTTAAAATAAAATAAAATGCACATTTGAAATGAAATCAGTGTTTTTAAGTGGCTAATACTTGGTACTTTTAAAACCTGTGTAAGGTTTCTTTCTAGAAAAGCAAATACTTGACCTTAATTTTATTTTTAAGTTATAGTAAAGTTGTATTAAAAAAAGACATTTTCTCCTTAAGTTCAGCAAGAGTATATCTGGGAAATAACTTACCATTTAATAGCTTCATATGACATGTCACTTCAATTGTATATTTAATTCACACATTTTTTTTAGTGTTTTTTATCTGCTTGCTTTAGGGAGAAAGAGAGAGCATGTGCGCAAGCAGGGGGAGGGGCAGAGAAAAAGAGAGAATCCTAAGCAGGCTCCACACCCAGCACAGAGCCCAATATGGGGCTCAGTCTCACAACCCTGAGATCATGACTTGAGCTGAAATCAAGAGTTGGACACTTAACCTACTGAGCCACCCAGACACCCCTTAACTCACAAATATTTTTGAGTGAGAAAGTTCTAGAACCTATAAAATTCAAGACCTTACACTTTTTTTTTTAAGATTGTATTTATTTAATTGACAGAGAGAGAGACAGCAAGAGAGGGAACACAAGCAGGGGGAGGGTCAGAGGGAGAAGCAGACTCCCCGCCGAGCAGGGAGCCCGATGTGGGGCTCGATCCCAGGACCCCGGATCATGACCTGAGCTGAAGGCAGTTGCTTAACCAACTGAGCCACCCAGGCGCCCCAAGACCTTACACTTTTTTTAAAAGATTTTATTTTTAAGTAATCTCTACACCCAACATGGGGCTCAAACTCACAACCCCAAGATCAAGAGTCACATGCTTTACCAACTGAACCAGCCATTGGCCCTAAGACCTTATACTTTTATTTATACATATTTTAATAATTTACATCTGAGAGCCATATCTGTTAAGTAAATTATGAGAACATTTTTCAACAATCCAACTTTCTAAAGCTATATATTTGTTGATTTCTGCTTCATTGAACTTAATGACAGAAAATATTCCCCAAATCTTCACTTTATGTATATGATCTCATTTACTCTTCACATCAGACCTATGAGGTAGTTAGAATCTTCCCTGCCCTACGAGTAGGGAAACCAAGATTTTGAAGGTGAAGTAATTTGTCCTAGTGCACATGACCAGTAAACATCAACACTTGGTTGTAAATGGAGGTTGTCAGACTCCACGGGGAAGTCTCCGAAGTACTGGATCTCAGTTGCTGTATAGAGGAAGCCAGTAAATGCTTACTGTTGGAGACTCCAGCACAAGCTAGAATAAAGAAGCAATTTAGATGTACCTACAACCACACTCAGACTAGAAAGATCTAATATGTCTTTAATGCAACAGACACCTAAATAAAATGAAATATAGCTGAGTTAAAAAAAATTTTTTAAGCTGATAACTTGTTTGTCCCATAATTATTTTGGTAAATCTTTACTCCAAACTCTAATTCTTACATTTTCTCAAATAATAGATTCTGTGGAATCAAAGTAATACATGTACAGTAACATATTATTCAAGAAACAGAAAGGCGCCATTCCAGTCATATAAAAGATAATAAAAACATCAAGAGTCACGTCAATCAAAAGGCTCTGTTGACTGGCAAACTCAATCTATGGATGGACCCAATTATCTGCAGGAGAATTGATGTCAGCATCATTTAGGGGTTAACAATGGACCAACTAGGCAGGAGCAGACAGCTACTCTCTGTAGAGACCCAGAAAGCAAACTTGGTAATGAGGTACTTCATTCATCATATCCTTCTGCTCTAATTATTAAAGTGAATAGGAAATACTTTAAGTTAAGGCGGGAATTGGATAACATAAAAACATTTGTTTTGTAAACACAAAGAATGCTTTTTTTCTAATGATCCTCTTCAAATCTACATCAGGCATATGTTCTCTGCACACTGCCTCCTCAAGTTGCTCTTCTAACACCTCAAATTCATTCGATTATGGTTGGGTTATTTTTGTTATCCCAGAAAGGGAGGGTAAGACTGCTAAGAGTCTACAATTTTAATTTCTACTCTCAACCTAAAAACGGTGGGGGGAGGGGCACAGGTACATATATAACCACAGTACATGGTCCACCTCCATCAATTACATCAAAATGGCCCAAATATATATACCACAGTGCCGTTTCTTAAAGTACTGAACAATCTAATTTTACTTACTCTAGTTCATTTTTTTCTTAATTCATCACTTGATCCTTATCAAGAATTGTGAAAGAATATGGTAGAAGAAAATGCAGGAATGGTTGGTTTGTACAACCTTTATGTAAGTAAATGCATATATAGCCAGTCATTTAAAATTGCCTGGAATGGAAATGATTTGCTTAATGAAGATAAAGAAAAAATAAAGTCCAGAAGGAGAAAAGAGCAAGAAGGTGAGGAAAATAACTGTTGCCAGAACAAAAATTAACTGAAGCTTGAGAAAAGCAGTCATGAGACCAAAGGAAGATTCCCTGGAGAAAAGTATGGTCGCTTTAGTTCGGTTTTTCAGTGTTTTCAACCGACAATCAGTAGTTAATTTTTTT